CTCCTCTCAACACTCCACACCAGCCTCCTTCTCTTTTTTTCTATTCCTCAAACACACTAAGTTCCTTTCAGATTGGGGGCCTTTGTCCTGGCTGAATGCTCTGCATAGAATTCAATTCCCCATGATCTTCTCAGGGCTGCTTTTTTCTTGTCATTCAGATTCCAACTCAAATACCACTACCTCAAAGGAAAGGAGTCCTGGTGGCACAATAGTTAAGCACTTGGCTGCGAACTGAGAGGTCAGTGGTTCAAACCCAGTGACAACTCTGTAGGAGAAAGGACCTAGCAACCTGCTCCCATAAAGATAATAGGCCTAGGAAATCCTATGGGGCAGTTCTACTCTATCCTACAGGGTCGCCGAGTTGGAATCGACTCAACTGCACATAACACCAACAACTTAGAAGAAGTATTCCATGACCACCTAGTGTAAATTGCTACCCAGTTACATCACCCTATTTTAACTCTTTCCATAGCACTTGCCACCAGCTGAAAGTTTTCTTGTTTGATTCCTACTTACCCCAATGACAACACAAGCTCCACAGAACAAAAACTTTGTCTTGTTTACTGCTGTTTCCTCATTGCCTAGAACACCAGAGACACTTAATAAGTACAGCTGGGATGAGTGACTAAATGATAAACCAGACCCTCATATCATCCAACCCCGAGTTCTGAAACCCGGACAAAGTGGAGGCAACATTCGTTTAATTTTCAGTCATCTATACAAAATTAAGGCCCAAGGGGCTTACTTTACCAACCCTTGATTTACAGGAATCACATTAGAAAGAGGGAATTAAGCCTCTTTCTCTTTTCCTAAGCTCAAGACTATTAATGCTACCTTAAAAGAGCATATTGGACAAGGACCATTATGGGATCTTTGAAGTTTTCACTTTCTAAGAAAAACACCTGAAGCAAGTAAACCACCTTAATGACTGCCGGTAGCACTTCTGATGCTTTAAGGAACAATCACCAAAAACTGAAAATGTGGTGTTGACATCATAGAGATGAATCGTGTTTCTTCTCAGTGCACCTAAACGAATTTCTGCCACCTCTAATTGGAGAGGCGAAGCATATGCTCTGCACACACACAAGAGCACCAAAACAGTGTGTTGTTCACAAACTCACCTTAGAATAAAAGTGTTTTCTCAAAATCAGTGCATACGCCTTGAAAGAAAACACCGTATTGCCTCAGGATGGTGGGTATCGTGTGCTACATTTTACTCTTAGAGAAACAACTCAGGGAAAGCGAATTAATTTTGAAGAACAACAGACAGCTTTTGTAATCCTACTGCCACTGTTTATATGCCAATTGTTTTAAGATAATATCACGGATGTGGTATAATTCAATTTGGAGACTGTTAGGGCTTGT